GATTCACTCGCCGGGTCTAGCTCCACGCCCGCCGGGTTTTGCCGTTGGGCTTTGCCTTTCTGAACCGCCGGTGATCAATGAAACGTAATCGACTCAAGGTCACGAGCTCCCTGCCACACGTACTCTGTGTGATTTTTTTGTTTACTTTACTCGGCCTCCGGTCGTGTTTAACATGAAATCCGCATTCAGCTGCACACAAAGACGTTGGGGTGATTACAGTTCGGACCTTTGGGGGCAATTGGAGTCGTAGTTGGGCATAATCCCTGGACGCCACCAGATGGCGCACTTACGCAGGGAATATTTTTTCTAAAGCTGACGATATTCGGTCTGAACTGTAGCTCATTAGTCCGGAGTTTAAAGAGCTCGCCCCTCGCCCCCCCCCCTTTTTGTTTTGTATTTGAGCCACTTTAATTCAATTTAAGGCTTTAAATGTACAAACATTTGAGAATTGAAAGCATTGTGGACCCAATTGAACTCGTATTGCGTGCTGGCTCAGAGCCGCGAGCCCCCTTCCCGCCGAACCCTTAAACAAATCTCTCTCGGGCGCATTCACAGTTAGAGCGAAAATTGAATAATAATATACTAATTATCATTTATAAAGCACCCTTAAACAACCAGATAGACCACGTCACTGTCCTGGTGTGGATTCGGTGCCATGAATTGTCACGTAAATTATGTCTCTCCCGGACAGAATGATATTGGCAGCACATGCTCACACCAAGCTCGCGCTGCTCGTGCATAGCTCACCCTGGCCCCCGTGTGCGTTGTGTAGCCCCATCGGCATCGTGCGTTGCGCTCACCGTGATCCCGCCGGCGCATGTTCTGGTGCTGCGGTGCAACATTGCGCTCCAGGTGTTATAGTCCTCTGCATTGGAGAATAATCGGAAGACGATAAAAGCAATTCACGTTAGTCTATGAGTGTAAAAAACCAAAGTCGGTGATTTTTTGAGCATGGAAGCAGTGACCGTCTCCCGTTTACAGCCATGAGCCACGAATGGAAATTACACATTATTGTGGCAGGGGTGAGTATCTGTAGGACAACCACTGTTGACTTCCCCCACCAAGTTATTTACAGTATCATGGGGCGCCACGGTGGCGAGATGTTAACTACCTCGCCTGGAATACAGAAGGTTGTGGGTTAGATCCTGACCCTGACACCTGCTTTATATTTGGAGTTTGCATGTCTTTCTCCCCATGGCCGTGTGGATTTTTCTCCGGGTCCTCTGGTTTTTCCCTCCACATTTAGAATCCACATCACGTGTTTAGAGTGTTTGGCTGCTATAGATTTCCACGTGATAAGCGACTTTTGTTGAGATATAATTTGTGGCTAGGTCGCTTCTGAAAAAGAGCTATATAGCTCAGTGGGCCTTCATTGGTAAAATTAAAAAAAGTATATTTTTTATTGTTTAATAGTTTGAAGTGGTACCTATTTTATCGCCCCCTGGAGGAATGATGAGGCCGAGTTAACCACCAACCAGGAATTTAACTCTCGAAAGTTCTGTTTGGGAGCTGCTCGCCCCCGAGCACTGAGCCGCCTTCTAACAATGCCTGTGAACGACTCTGGTGAGAGCGTTGTCTTCTTTGCCTGACTCCCAATTCTAATTTGTGGGATTTTATCTGAAAATTGGATCGAAGCAGCAAAGGCGCGGATACAAACGGGAAAAGAAATATCAACCGTCTCCGATTTGCCGATGACAATCAACAAAGGCGCTCGATGCAAATCAGCTACGGGGCTATCGAGTTTAACGTGAGCGGAACAAAAGTAATCTAATAACAGGTTTGCAAAATTATTTTAAGATAACTGTAGGAGGATGCACAATTGGAAAGCACATGACAATATGTACGATTTAATTATCCTCTGCTAGGTGTGCACCATCTAATTACTCATGTATTTATTTACGTGCGTGTGGGTGGGTGTGATGTTTATTATGTTATACGTGACATTTACGTGTACACGTACACTCGTCGTTACGGGTTTGACGTGTATCCGTCGCGTGACGCCATCTGGACGCTCCTTGCCAAACGACATTTTCCCGATATCAAACGATGAAGCAACCTCCCATTCATTATCAACACAGCCTTCCCTGACTCCAGCTCCAAGGCACATCATTATGGGTTTCCCCCATGTGCGCTCTGTTCCTTAGGCTTAACGCGGGGGGAGCAAAACTACCCCCGTGCACCGAGTGGCGTTATGCGATAGCCGGCCTTCTCTCACTTTGTCATTGAGAGCAATTGGAGTCGCGGCGAGCCCCGCTGGGTTCGTGTAAAACCTCGCCGCGCAGGTAGCGTGCGTATGTGTGTGTGCGGTGCTATAGGCGCATCCGCGGGGTTCAGGAGACCGCGACATCGCCGTGAAACGTTTCTGCAAGTTGCAGTCATAATTATGGTGGTGGCTGGAATAAAACTAATAAAACACTTATTGTTAGAGGAATAACAACCGGGAAAGTCGCGGGAGAATATGCGCAGCGCTCAGGCGGTTATTGAAGGCGGTTCAGGATTAATTTAAAGTAAAATAGAAAGCAAACACGGGACTTGATGATGAAATGCGCCATATTGACGTGCAGAAACGTTTTTGGGTACCACTAATTACCTGCTACGGTTTATGGATCGGCGAAGCATGAAGACTGGCAAAGGGAAATGGAAGCGAAGCTGAAAAATCATGGGGGATTGTGCACGGTCGTAATTGCGCTGAGAGAGGACAGGGCGAGGAACGAAATTAATTACCTTCATCTTATCAAAATTTACATAGCGCCTTTTTTCCATAGCGCCACTCGCAGTGATTATTAAATTGTACGTAAGACGACATAAGACGACAGTGGATTTGAGATGAAGAATGGGGTTATTAAAAAGTGGTGGTGTTGCTTAAGTGACAGCAGAAAAGGTGCTAGCGAGTGGTAAGGAGGGGGTTGTGGTTGGCCTGCTCGTAGCTGGGAGGTGGGCGGGCGACAGATAACATGGTCACAATGAGCAGGATATATTGAGCAGGACACATCGGGAGGACACATCGAGCAGGACACATTGAGCAGGGTACATTGAGCATGACACATTGAGCATGACACATCGAGCAAGACACATCAGGCAGGACACACCAGGCAGGACACATTGAGAAGGTCACATTGAGCAGGATGCATTGAGCAGAAGGGACGTGGGCACAGCAAAGACGGCGTGATTGAAAGGGCGACCGCACACCGCGATGCTTTCAAGTGCAGGAGTGTAAGGGCATTTGGGGCAGTGCAGAACTGTGAAGGGTTAGTGATGGCATGGGGGAAACCTCTATCCAGCAGTGGATAAAAAATGGCTGGTGATGGTGATGACGAATGCATGCACAGCAGTCGTACACAGGCGCTCCTTAAAGTCGTGTTATTATTTGTTTCTCATGATAGATTTATTTTCCACATTTGTTCACAAACAGCAAGAACTGTTGGTGGTGCGTCTTTAGTAAAATTAGAAAAACGAATAAACTTAAATCCGATGTCCGTTCATCAGTGGCAACATCGGTGCCGCTCGGTAGGTGGGATAGTGACTCGGGAGTAAAACTTTCAGTTGTAACAAAATAGATCAGCGGACAATTTTCCCTCTTCCCAAATCTGGCTGCCCACGTGAAACTAAAGGTATTTTTACACGTTCCATCAGTCGCACGACCTTCTGCGAGTTCATAATTTCAGCCGGATTGGACCGGTTTCAACTAAACTGAAGCTAAAAATAGTTTCAGTTTAGTTTTTCAACGCTCCGGTCTCATCGGCAGAGTCGCAGCTTGCTGCAACCAACCAATGTCGTTGAACTGTCCGATGTTGAGAGGTAAGGGGCTATAAACAGTTAGGTAAGGGTCCTAGTTCTAGACTAATGTGATGCAGGAGGTCTTCGGTTTACGACGATCCTATTTACGGGCGAACCACATTCACGGCGTTTGTATAATGCCACCATGGATTGATGTACAATGCATGGAACTCGATTTACGACGTGGGGGACTCGATTTAGGAACTTGAACAAGATTTACTATGAGGGGGACTCTATTTACGACGTGCCGTTCCGACACGGCTCCGAAAGCGTTCGAATAGAACCGTCGGTCCAGTTTTTCCGACACCACTTGGATGTTTACCGATGGCATGAACCCTGTTATTAAACACGGCCGATACAAGGAAAAGAAACACATTGGCAAGTGCCGTTTCTACTGTTTCGACTGTTTATCGGCATATCGGGGTTCCGATTCATGACGATCCGATTTGCCACCACGGGCTTTACAGGAATGTATGAAAAAATAAGAATAGGTTTTAACCTTTCTGGCAATAAAACAGGTGTTAAGGTGTTCAAACACCAAATATAAACATTTAGCAAGGAATCAAGTTTGCATCAAGTTCGCAATAACCACACGTATTTGTGGTGAACATGTAAACGAACATGCTCGGATAATTTACAGGAATGCTTAGTGACGTCGTAAAAGCGGGGGTTGAGCCGCCTGTACATAACGCAAAAATAAATTATCATCAGTATCTGTCTGTCCCCTCTGTCATTACCGGAGAGACGAAAGACAAAGATCCCCCGTGTAGCCTTAACAGACTGTTGGGCAAGTGCTGTTAGCGAGCACCGATGAAGGCCGGCACGGTACACGAGGGGGTGGATGGCCAGCGCCACGCCCGACCACCTTTGTCTCCCCAGTGGCGATGTTTACGCACCGCACCAGGTACTCATTTGAGGCTGAGTCGACCTAGGGGGAGGTCCAGGACCGGTTCAGATAATCGTCACCGGTGTGGGCCACGAGTGGGAAGCGAACTCGGGTCCCCGGCTTCGTAGTGCAGGGCGCTAACCGCTACGCTACCGCTCCCCACAGGGACGGACACACGCACGTGAAGGAGGCGTTATTATCCGCTGCTTATCTAACCGCGTTGCTGGCTGAGGATGCGTCCATGACGGTGCTGCCTATCGTTTGGGGGAAATCACGGCCGGGAAGTTGTACCATTTTCATTTCGCTTCCACCCCCTCCCCCCTCTTTGTTTGCACAGCGGAGGAGGCGGCGCGAGCGCTGCGCGTGCTGAGCAGCTCGAAGGCACCGACGGTGAAGAAGCGGCAGGTCATGCAGGCTGTGTTCGGTGACTACCGCAAGAAGATGGCAAGCGACAGGGCCAGGCACATCCGGAGCATGGAGACTGGTGAGGGGAGCACACAGCCTCCGTCGTCCTCTCTTGCGACATTCTCGAGAACGAAGATGATTTGTTGCCGATGTTAAACCATTTTATTTGGTCTTCTCCTTATTCTCTTTTTTCCTTCTTTTTTCTTCCGTACAACTGCTGATGTAGATGCTGCCCCTACTCATTTCAAATGACATTGGGGAATCTTTGACGCCCACTGTGAAGCAGACAGCCCGTAGTGTTTCATGGTTAAAACGCATCAAGTTGGCACAGTGGGGAGCATAGCTGGTGCATCTGCCAGTCATCTCAGTCAGTCAACCCATGGCACCTGGGTCTTTCCCGTGACTTCTTGCCGGCAGCGAGCCTTCGACACTTCACGTGGCCTCAAAGTGCACCTGGCCTGGCACAGGTGCCGTGGCGACGTCACCGCTGCTGAGTGGCGAATGGCGGGTATTGGCCGTGTGCGGTCTTTTCAGCCGACAACCACGGGACACACAGGCAATCCAGGACCCCCCGTGGCGCCTCATGTAGCCCCCCAGAAAACACATCTCCATTTTTATACGCTCGATAATTTAAGTACGGTAATTGCGTTCGTAAACCTCTCGCCTGGCGATCCATCTTAAAATTTACAATCCTGCTTATTAAAATCTCTTTCAGTAACTGTGGTCACGTTGGCTGAACAACTCATCTTAAAATGAAATTTATGAAATAATTAAAAGTTTAAGGGACTGCGTTGGCAGTGTTGCACGAGGGGGTGATTAACGCCACCTTTTCAGGAGGAAAATACAAAATGGGCTAAAGTTTCAGCGAGGGAGCGCTTCTTACTTTGAAGCAGTGGTTGGGGTGCGAGATCCCCTTACTGAGAACCGAAAGGATGGAGGCCGCTTTGAAGGAGGGCCGTTGGGCAATTTCGGGAAGGCAGCGGCTATGGGGATCTGGTGGAGGGTGGAGGAAGCTGGTGAGGTGCGGTGGCGTCGACGGCTTTGGCGACTTCAGCTCAGTTTTGAGCCAAACCTGAGCGCACACTGTCTAGAGTGAGGCAGTTACTGAGCCTTTCCACCACTACCTGTGGATACAGATTAGTAAATACAGACGGCGAATATTGATTCGACGTCAACCGAAGCGATTTTTGTCCAGGAGAGTCAAACAAAGACAACGGAGGCTTTACGGTGACGCGCTGTGTTAACGCTCACGTTTTCATCCTAGATGTACACACAACGTTACTTTACACTCCTAAAAATACTGCACTCAACACGAGTGTACAGCAGTAGACTTAAACACAAATGACACGAGGTACAATAATATACAGTACACGATAAAACACCAAAATACCGTACGTAAATAATATACTGTCCTCTACAGTACGGTTACATTCATTTATGCGCGACACACAAAGCGGTTCCGTGTCCAATGTAGCAGTGGGTGGAGGTGAAGGCTGAGAGGCGACGGATAACGAGACAGGATGGACGACGACGCTGTCAGCGACGTGAGCATGTGGGGGTTGAGGTGACACTATTCGGGTCGCGGTGTTCATAATCATGCGACGACGGATTTGCGAAACGACGTCAATGGGGGAGACACCAATCGGGCTATCACTGTAGACAAGTTTCCTATGTTCACAAGTACCTTTTTTAATGCTGCCCAGTAGCGTTACACTAAATATGGATGAAATAATTAAAAAAGGATGTTTTAGTATGACGCAGACATAACTAAATACTGTGTCGCGTGGCGTGATGCGATTCAGGGTAAGTGAAACGGTGATGTTAAATGCGCTGGTGCAAAGGGGAAGTTATTTGGAGTAATTCTCATAGATGAAGTACATGTTTTATAATTAATTCTTCCAAAAAAACCTGCTGAATAATTACACCAATGACGATGAGTAGGAGATGGAAAATATATCTTCTTTTAAAGGCAATCTACGTGGAGTTTCTTTATCTTCCAAACAGCTGATGTCCAGAGGGCAGCATTTGCATGCCCATATTGGCAACATTTATATGGGCATATTGGCTTTATATCTATCTATCCGTAAACATTACATTTGTAGTGGGTTCAATTGAGGCGCACACTCAACTTGAAGGCAACACTTTATTAACGCATAACAACCAACGTGAATGTTATACACAGGGTGGTGACTACCGTTCCTGATCTCACTAACACTCGGGGAGGGGATACTACATAACGTGACCAGGGCAGGTTAGCGGGCTGCCTGGTCACGGATGAAGGTCGGAGCCTGGAGGAGCGTTGGTGGCGACTTCATCCCAGCTCTCTGTTCACACCCCACTTATAACTGCCGTGGCGTGGCCGGCTCCGCCCCAGGTCACGCCCCCCTTCTCGATCCTTCGGGAAGGTACGGCCCCCAACCACGTGACCCCCAAGCTCCCCCCTGGGGCCCCGAGCCCCCCTTTGTCCGGTCACGTGTCCTGTTGGGTTCACGCAGAGTGTCACGGCCTGATATGACCTCCGTAACACCTGCCTACAGCACCCATACCGAGCCAACACAGTCATGACGTCATATGTCCCTACGCTCGTACAGTCCCGACACAGTAGTGACATCGTATGTCACTACACATTTAAAAGCGGTAGGTGTCCGTTCATCTTCAAGCGGAGAGTCGGAGCCCTTGAACCTTGCCGACTTTGCAGTGTTCAATCGGTTCTGGGATCGCCGAGTGGGATATGAAAGGGTTGTGAAAGAATATTGTCTGCTTTCAAGCCTGTAGCCATGCTATCGTCTTTTCTTGAATTACCTCCTTATGCTGCTTTGGCATGAATAGACACTAATGAAATTTAAACCAAATCGTTTGCACTTTTTTGGGTGGGCTCATTTAACATAACCACTCTAGTTATTCATGAACCCGTGATAAATAAAATATCAGTGCTTTATCAAGTACTGTTAAAACGAATGATGCACTTAATGAAAAAAAGTAATATACATCAGGACTCTGATGTATACAGGGTGCTTAACATTTTTTTAAAACACTTATATGGGATTTGAAGCTTTCGTGACTGCAGGAAGCCATATCCTCTGGTTCTTTCGGTAAAGTCCCGTAGATAGAAAAAATTATCAAATGAAAGAAAACACGACGTTTCGGTCGCAACACAAGCGTCCGTCTTCAGGTGATAAAAAATTATTTGCTGTTGTGGCTATAACGGATAGTACACTAACATGATAACAAATGTCTCCACTTGTTCACCATCATTGTCAACACATGCCGGGAATCTTCTCCAGGTGGTCTGCAGAGCCTGGAGGCACATTCCTTGTGATATTGTTGAAAATTCTCAGAAGTGTTTACATTTTTTTTGAAGCACCCTGTATAAGCACTCTGGGGCAATGAATTTTGGAGAGACAGGGCAATATAAGACTCAGGTGTTGCCGAGTCCCCACGCATTTGTATGCGTGCCTGGTATCATTTCATATTTCTTCAGTTTGATGGTGTAACCTGGAGAGAACCTTTTGACTCCGGGGGTCCAAACGAAATGGTCGGATCGAGAGCGCCTCGCCTCTTATCAGCCACGCAACGAGAGACAATTTTGTGCTTTGATCGTTGTCACCGGGTTCACGGCACATGGCTTTAAAGCAGCTCTTTCCACCGCTCAAGCCACGTCCTCTTTATTCCGTCTCTTGTTCAACTTACGTTTTGCCATCGCGTCATTATCTAACAAGACTGTTGGACTCGTTAGCTATGTTTAAAGTCCGTCTGGAAAAACTCACCTCTTTGAATTGGCGTTTTACCCCCTCAGTTCTGGCCGTGCACCCTACAGGTTCCGTTTAGTTTCTGCTTTCCATACATGGGCTATATTGGGATCTAAAAATGAAATGCGCCTTAAGAGTTTAGTGTATTATTATATCAGTCTCTCTTTTAAATATTTGGGTTTCTCCGTATCCATGTTATTTTTCTGAATGTTATTTCTATTTGCCTCCCAGCCTTATTCTAATTATGTTATAAATATACTAATATTGTATACATTCAGATTCTGAATTGCCAATGTGATTTGTAACTTTGATCCTTACCCATGTATTATAGTTCAATTTTAAGGTGCAATTTTACTGTTTGTTGTTGTAACGTTCTTACTCCGTGCCTCGACTGGACATCTGTGAAATAAGAGCTTTAAAGCTCATCGGATTCCTCCTCTAAAAATAAATATCTGATTCTATTATCTTTGTCACGTGGCGAGATCAAAATACCTTTTTCCATTTGGAACTTTCATTGTTTGTCCACCGCTCTGGGTTAAAGGGTGACCCCAAAAGATTGCGTTACTAAACGGGCAGAGCGATCATTTTGTCTCGAATGCACTGGGAGCAGACCTTGCTATGCCACGCAAGGTGTGTCCATTGACACGTTAGTCAAACCCAAATCATGTTTGTTGAACTCCTTTCGCACAGTACGTGGCCAACCGTGCTAATCGGAAATGCTAATTATATTACCTACGTTAAGTGCAAAAAACAAATCCGATGGATTTCAGTGCACCCATTGGTGACTGGGCTGAGACCATGAACTCACTATGTTACTATGTTGGATTATCCAGTTGAACCCTTTTCCCGTTCTGAGACATCTGCAAGTCGCAGGGTGTGGTGGTGTCCCGTTCGCCGCTGGACCTCGGAACGCTAAAGCGGCTCGGTGTTAATTTTATTTAGAGCGGCGTAGTAGCGCCGCTGTTTATAAAGACGTTGTTACTCATCGCGGAGAACCATAGCGACACGACCGCCACACTCTACAATAGCCAGCTACCAAAACTGTGCCGCACGCCCCTCCGAAGTGGGTTTTTGCTTGCGTTTCCTTTTGGAATCGATTCCGTTCTGACGGCGTAGACGTACGTCATCGTAACGGAATCGGAAGAAAAAAACAGATTACGTAAAACGTACGTACACGTACGCACTCGCACGTACGTCATCGGAACGGGAGAGGGTTAATCGGAGGTGGCTCCCCGGACTCGGCTCCCCCCCCCCCCATCTCTGTGGCGATGGCTCCGTGCTCCGAAGGGGCAGCGGTCCCCTGAAGCACACAGCCACCACTCTCCATCTCACTCATTCAATTTCTCACCACGTTTTTTTTGGTTTGTGATTCTCTTGCCACCTGTGATGTTTTTGTTTTTATCCCTCCTTTTTTTTCTTATTTTACTTTGGTCTCTGGTTTTATCCTTCCCCTTTTATCTGCCTCGTCTGCTTCTGTGTCTGCTATTATTGTCTTTCCGATACGACTTTATACATAAAAGTTCCGAATTCGTTTTTTTTAAAGCACGCAAGACAACCATGGCAGCTTCGTTTATTTTTAAGCATTCCAATTCAGTAAGCTATTTCATCAGTTAAGTTATTTTCATATTACTCTTTATTTTTGTTGATACAATACAGTCTAAAATACGTAGAAAAGAGTCCCTGCAATTCAGTATTGTCCAAAATTTCAAGTCACTTTTTAAGAACGTTGCTTTATAAAGTTTGCCCGAGTTCCTCCCTCAGGTAGACACCGCTGTGACGGGGTCTGTGTCCGCCACACGCGCTCGCTTGCGTGCATGATGAAGTGCTGCATAATTTATGTTAATGCTTTACCGTGCATGTGGAAATATACAACGGTTCTTGGGATTCTTGGGTTCAGTTTAAGTATTTTCAATGTATCTTATGCTAATTAGTTGTCTTGAACGTGTGAATGGAAATGAAAGTAATTTGTATCTCAAATTAAGTAGGCACGCTATTTGTTGTATCAATAATAATATGTTTTGCCTTAGGAGTAATTAAATAAACAAAGAACATAACATTTTCAGTCTTTGTATTGAATTATTTTGACAGGCTGTCATATCTTGTGGGGGGGGGGGGGTTTAAAATTGCATTGGTATATCCGAGTGAATGAGCGATTCATTGGATAACTCGGCGTGCGGTCACTGCCATTCACTCGTCTTTTGTAGCCCAACCGCGTTGCCAGGCACTGCAGTCTCCTCTCCACTCGTAGTTAATATTCACGAGAGCGACACCACCCATTCACCGCCCGCCTAAGGAGTGGGCGGCAAATTGCCGCCTGTGCGCTCATTCGTATCAATGCGCGCGTGATGACACGCTCCTTAATACGTTAATGTGTTAATTTATAAAGATGCTTGGGATTGTAGAATTAATAATACGACTGATAATAACGTACGCTTATAAAGCGCCTTTCACCCAGAGATCACAAGGTACTCTACAAAACTCACGCGCGTGTGCTCAGGGCTCGCGCCGATGAAATCCTACCTCAATTAGAATGGTTTAAGAAAGAGGAAAAGCCCTTCAAATGAAGTCGCGTCTCAAGGCGCTATTGGAATAAAGGGATGGGGGGGGGGGGGTGAGGGGTTTGGGAGTCAGCGGAGTGGAAGTGAATACCACAGCGGTGGCACCCCCCCTGTAACGCGAGATTCCTGCGCGCGCTGTAACTGTACTGCTCACGGTGATGCTGCTGCGACTACTGCCGCCGCGCAAGAACTACGCGCGGCGCCGCCTTGTCCCCGTCTCATCCCCTCAAGCGGCCCTCGTGGCTCCCCGGTCATTATGCGGTGATGTTCCCGGCCTCCGGTGAGGAGGCAGCGAGGTTCGTCTGCACGCGATTTTTCTCCCTGTGCTATACAATACTCCACACCGGTGTTCTCCATTGCAAGGCCACCGCGGGGCCACTGGCGGCCCCGCGGTGGCCTTTTGTGCGGCCCCTGACGTGCGGTCCCCCCAACAAGACGCAAAATGTGAAAATACCCCCCCCATCATCATCATCATCGTCGTGCTACTGTCACAAACCCCAACGGTTTCAACTGCGTGACGGCCCTCACTCACACTGATCGGCGAAAGTGGCTCCCCCCCTCTGAAAGTTGGTGACGAACAACACCGCTGCTCTACACGGATATGTGTACGGTATTGTACGCGACATTATTGTTTTTCATTCAGTATATTTACCGTACAAGTTATATAAATTTTTTTGATGCACCGTTCCCAGAAGTACTGATATGTAGAGCAGACAGAGCAAGCCCCTGTTCAATCTCCCTGTCCCAAAAATCGATTTAATATAAGATACCACAATGTGTTACGTATCAGATGTTAAACTGATAAGAACAGATACGACCCTTAATTGTAGCCAAAAGGCCGAGTAGCAATCGTACAAGTTGTACTTAACACTAGAAAATATTAACCATATTTTACATTAAACATTCCTGTTTAATGTGTGGGTTGATGCAGGGTAACTTAAAACAAAACGAGGGTTGCGTGAACCGATCCCTCGTTTTCCCATTTGCGTTTCAGTTTTGCTTATCTGCGGATTTTTTTCTGAATGCAGCCTATTTTCAAGAACGTGTAACCCCGGTTAACGACTAATCGCTTAACAACGGGCCACCATAGAGCCCGATGTTTAGTATATAGTGTAGTGTATAGTAACGGAGTGTATAGTAGTGTAGTGTATAGTAGCGTAGTGTATTGTAGTGTACAGTAGTAGCGTCGTGTGTAGTAGAGTAGTGTGTAGTAGTGTAGTGTATAGTAGTGTGTAGTGTAGAATAGAACCCCTCTTAACGACCACCCCTGTTAATGACTAATCGCTTAACGATGGGCCTCCATAGAGCCCTATGTGTTCACTTATCGACCATTCCCCTACTAACGACGGGCTTAGGACGAGCACGCGACCGCCAATTTCAGCCAATCGGAAAGCTCCAAAGTGGTCTGACCAGGCCTCGGCCAATCGGCGACGTCCATTTGTGAGCGTTCAGGCATTGTTTACATTCAGTGTCTGCTGCGCTTTGAACTACAAACTGCTTGACGACCAAATGACTTAACGACCAGTTTTGTTGAACCATTTACCATCATTAAAGAGGGGATCTACTACATTTTATGCTCGTAAAAAAAACTATCTTGACTGCAGGAATTAAACACAAGGGATTATTTGGACTTCTAAAACGGAAAAAAAATCGTTTAGTTTTTTTTATAGTCTCCTGAAAACAATGGAATTGTTCCCCTTTTTGTGATGTATACATTTAAAAAAAATATTTATTTTTGCAGCCATGAAGACCATGAAGCTGGTGCCGGTGCCGGCGAAGCCTAAGAGCGTGTTCTACAAGGCTTGCGTCAGCAAGGAGTGCCGCAACAGGCTCCACTCGGCCGGAGAGAACGCGTCCGCAGGCAACGTGCCGGCCTCCACGGGGGCCACGGTGGAGGCCAGCGCCACTCATGCGGAGGTCCTCTCCGACGCTTGGCTCGCGAGCATCGGGGCGCCGTCCGCCAGCACCGCCGCTGCCGTAGCCACGACTGCACGCCCAAACGGTTTCCGTTGCGCCGCACAAGAGTTTAAATTCAACTTTTTTGATGCGTCGGAGAGCTGATCTTTGACGGTGAGTGTCAAGGAGGGTCGAGACAGGTCACCTCTTCATTACCCTCTCCCAGTCTCTTTCATCTGCCAGATCCCGCAATTGGGCACCAACAGGTACATCTGCTCTCCAAATGGTTTTACAGGCTTTCCCCCTGGCAGGCTGTGGCTTCTTTGCCTTCATTGCTGGCCTCTTGGTGTGAGACTGCAAATTGTCTGTTTCCATAACAACCTGTCCTCCCTATAATTTGAACTGAATTACGCTCACAGCGAGCTCTGCTGACACATTCTCTCCTGAACTTTCAACTCCCTCACTCTGCCGCGAACCTCTTAGAATCCCCGGCACGCTCAAAGGGGCCACATTATTTTTTCCAGTTGCTTTTATCTCATCCAGTTTTCTCGCTTGTATTGTAACACAGCCATCACTTTAGGCTGTACTCATGCCGCAATATCCCCATCAATTAAATCGGAATACTTTGTAAAACGACTGCAGTGGTGTGGATACATGCATGTATGTTGAACTTCTTTTTTACCGTACGTCGCCAACCGTAATAAACGGAGGTGTGAGGGAAGAACAACAAACTTTGTGTCTCTGTCAGTCTATTTGTTTCTATGGGTCTCTGTGCGAGTCTATAAATAAATCAAACGTGTCCCATTTTCAAGGGAGATAAGGTACCTCGCCACTTGTGTACATTTATTAAAATGTCCGTGGACGAACAAGGGGGGTGCAAATTAATTGGGTGAATTTTGCATATTTCAAACCCCGAGAGACTCGGAGATGTTTTCTTTTGCCAACGATGCAGTTTGCGAGCTGGGGCCTTGGCTGGGTCGTCGTTGTTGTTGTGGTTGGTGGTGGGGATTACCGAAAACAAGGTGTGTGACATTTGCAAGGACACCGGCTCCTCTTGCAGGCGTTAGCGTGAAAGGTGTCACGGGTAGGGTGTATTTAGTTTGTCACGTGCATAACGCGGTGGATAGATGTTATGTCCCTCGCCTGGTATGCAGGAGGTCGTGGGTTCGATCCCAACCCCCTGACGACGCCTGCTGTACATTTGGAGTTCACGTATCTCTCTCTCCGTGGTGGCGTGGATTTTCTCCGGGTCCTCCGGTTTTTCTCTCCACAATTAAAATCAACATCACGCGTTTAGAATATTTGGCTTTTTTATCAGAAGCAACTGGGCCACTAATGATAGCTCGACGAAGTGGCTTATGTGTAAATTTATAGCAGCCAAATACTTTTAACGTATGTTTCTCAATGTGGAGGAAAATCCCCGATCACCCGGAGAAAAATCCACGCGACCACGGGGAGAGAGAGACACGCAAACTCCAACTATACAGCAGGCGTCAGTGTTAGGATCGAACCCATGACCTGTATATCAGGCGAGGTAGTTAATATCTCCTAGCCCACCGTGGCACCCAGCTCAATGGGCCTTACCTGGTATAAAAACAGTAACACAGTCGTGAAAAGATGGCCAAGAGGCACTACTGCTTGAGCAGGAAAAGATTGTGATTGACTACTGTCCATAATCATTTTGCAAGAGTCATGCGTTGCTGCGTCAGCAACGAATACAACGTTCTGGCAAGTTACCTTAGGATGTTTGAGTATAGGGTGTACGTGGAAGGATGGAATTGTATTTTCACGATGGTGCAAGTGATCAACTTGAGTAGTTTGAAATGAAACGTGATGATGAGGCATTGTAGACGAGCTCTGCTCGTGCAGGAAGAGAAGGTTTGTAGCGCAGCGTTCTTCATTGCAAGGCCACCGCAGGCCACTGGCAGCCCCCCACGGGTGGCTTTTACTGCCCCACCCCCGATAATACCAGAAGAGTGAACACACCCCACCCCATCATCATCGTCGTCGTCGTGCTGCTGTCAAACCCCCAATGGTTTCAAATGGGCGGCGGTTCTCTGATGATGTCTTCTTATCGGCGAAATGCCTCCCCCCCACCCCCCTTTGCAGGCATTATCGTGAAAGGTGCCACGGATTGGGCGTATTTAGTGAGTCGCGTGCATAACGCGGTGGTTAAGAGATGTTAATACTTTCGCCTAGTATGCAGGAGGTCGTGGGTTCGATCCCAACCTTGACGACGTCTGCTGTATATTTCGAGTTTGCATGTCTCTCTCTCTCACCGTTGGTCGCGTGTAAAAAAGAAATATCGCGGGTCCTCCGCTTTTTTTCCCCCTTCACATTTAGAATCAACATCACGCGTTTAGAGTACTAGCAAACATTAGTGAAGATCCGCTGGTGTGATGAGGGATGGAGCGTGCGTGCAGGACGGAGGTGAGGACACTGCAACGACCGCCCACCCGGGTGAGATCATTGGGCAAGCACCCAGAGCTCACCTCAGGAGGATCCTCATCAAAACTTTGCAAGCAGGGCCGTATTGTCCAATAGGCCACAGTAGGCACTGTGCCTCGGGGCCTATGGAAACTAAAAGGGCTGACGAAATAAAAGGTTGACCATGTTTTATTATGGTATATTATATAAAACAATGTCTTCTTGCATACATATTTATATAGCAACAATATCCAGAGTCATGTCAATAGTTTTTTTTCTCATAAGGTGAGTGATAAATTAAGATCGGAGATGAACTTTTGGAGATTTTTTTCATTGCAAAATTATAAATAACATCTTCAAATGGTGTTTTACCTTCAATCTCATTCTCAATAGAGAGCAGTGCAAGGGAAGACAAAGGCGGCGGTGTTGTCCTATGGACGAAGTTACGACGTGAGATAAGCGGAGCGACAGCGGCGGTAGTAGTGACATGGGGCAGCAGCATCAGCTGTAGAGAGTTAGCGCTGAAGGCCGACGAAACATAAGTGCCTAGGGCCTACAAGAACCTACATCCGGGCCCTGGTTTGCAAGTGATGGGAGAGGAGTTGGTGATGTCGTAATTGGCCTTCACGCGATTGCCGCGCGGTCTCACGTGACAGACGCGCAGAACTCTCAAGCCCACTGGGCTGCAGGATGGCCAGTTCAGGAAGTGGGATGGCGAGCCCATCTGAAGACCATTGAGAGTGTGTGTGTTTTGTGGGGAGTGGTGGTGTAGCGGTTCGCACTCCGCTGCGCTATGAACGTGGCGTGCTGAGTTCGATTTCCGCTTATGGCCAACACAGGTAACCATTATCTTGAATCGGCCCTGGGCCTCCCCTAGGTCGACTCAGCCTCAATTGAGTACCTGGTGCGGTGTGTAAACATTGCCACGAGGGAGACAAAGGCGGCCGGGCGTGGTATTGGCCAACCACCCCCTCGTGTACCGTGCCGGTCTTCAGAGGTGCTGCTCGCTTACATCACTTGCCCCAACAGTCTATTGATGCTATACGGGGATTTTTTGTCTTTGTAATCCAGGTAAACTGGTTTCCTCAAAAAGCACATGCAGGCTCTATGTGAAATGGATTTGGCCAAACATGGAAGACCACCCATATAAAAAAGTCCTGCAACTCAACGAAGCTTCTTCAGATAAATGTATGACACGTACATTCTTTCAATGGGAATTGTTTGGCGAAACAATTAAAACACTGCAATTAAACCAATCCAGCAATGCGACGGTGATGCAATCGTCCAGAAGCGTAAAACATCACCACGCGAACTCCGCTCATCCTCGCAGGAGCTTTTGGCTAACCATGGAGCACCACATCCACGCGCTTTCAGATGCGCTTTTGCGACCGTCTGGAATGCTCTTTCTGATATGAGTAACCACTGGAGCTATGCACTTTTAAATCATCATCTAGATTGGAAACTAATTTCTTTAGAACTGCTTTTTGTGTTTAGTTGTGTTGTCCTTCCCCTGCACCTTCGATTAATACAGTTGGATACGTACGGTGCGAAAAAACTTCAAAACACACATTCCGCCTCACATATCTGTCCCTCCACGTATTACAGAACCTATCAATCGGACGAGCTTCTGGGAGTGTATAATTGCGCGCTTTTAGATGCGCTTCTGTGGCCGTCTGGAACGCTCTTCCCTCCGATATTCGGAAGCCATTGGAGCTATACCCTTTTAAATAATGTAGATAAGTAATTTCTTTAGAACTGCTTTTTGTGTTTAGTTTTTCTCCCTGTATGTATGCATGTTGAACTTCTTTCGCACCGTACATAGCCAACCGTGCTCATCGATCCTTCACCCGATTAGCACGGTTGGCTACGTACGGTGCGACAGAAGCTCAACGTACGTACACGCCTACAAAATTGGTGAGATGGATCTGAAGAGATGACAAAAAATGTGTCCCCTTTCGCACGAACCCTAAACTTTTCCGTGTGAGCTCCCAACATGCCTGTGTTTTCACAACAGTGATTAAAACCGCTGCCTCTAGGTCTTTTGCTGCGGATTCCGTCTCGAGCGCGCGGGGGGGGGGGGTTGTGCGTGCCTAGCACAACTGGAATTGCTCCGAGAGCGATGTCTGATTTGTTGTCACGCTGACCGTGAATCACCCTCGCCTGCGCGTCTCGATCTGCGTGTTTGTCCCCCGTCTGTTCACTTGTCACGTCGTCGATTCCAGCGGTCGGCCCCTGCATCTCTCAGTCTGCTCTCTGTCCCTACTATTCATCGCAACTCCGCATTATTCGTGGCCACGTGTGTGCGCGTGTGTGCGCGTGTGTATACACGGCATTTGCATATCTCCGTGTCCCTGCCTATCACCAAATCCCTAGGGCTGTGCAGCATGGAAGACTGCACCACGAATGGCGACCGCCAATGCATTAACCTCGGGCGCTGTAGACGGCTGCTCCTGCGTGGCTAATCTCATGTCTGTCAGCGATGCAGCGAACACGCTTTGTCTCTCCAACATTCATTCCCCAACTTCACGTGCCTGCACCGAGCAGTGTGGTGAAGTGCGGCCAATTGCTGAACTTCTTTCGCACCGTACGTAACCAAGCATGCTAATCGGAGGCGTAAGAGGCAGGATAACAAACTAAACACAAAAAGCGATTCTAAAGTAATGAGTTTGTCAATCTAGATGATGAATTAAAAGTGCATAGCTCCCAATGGCTTCCTAATATCGGAAGGAAGAGCGTTCCAGACGGCAGCAGAAGCGCATCTGAAAGTGCGCGATGCAGTGACCACCGGATTTGTTCGATGACCAGCCAAAAGCCACTGCTACGAGGACGACAGGAGTTTGCGTGATGATGGTTTATGATCCTTGACGATATCAGCGAGTTATTGTGGTCCGTTTGTGGCGAGCACTCTGCGTACCTTTTCCATCTCTGTCATTGCGTCTCTCTGACCAACTCTCGATGTTTCTGTGTTGCTTTCTATTTGTCCTTCACGTGATCTGCCTGCGTCTGCGTGTACGCCGCTGCAGCCTCTCCCCCCGTGTCTCAATCCGTCGCTCTGTGCGCCTCTTCACGTCCGTCCTCGTGTCATCATGCGGCACCCTGCCTGTCGGCCCTCCCTCCTACAGTCGTCCAACTTCTTTTTAATTGCCACTTGGGAGGTCGTCGGGGTGAATGAACTTGAGGAAGATTTTGCTGGCTGCCCCGGGGTGCAGGAATTCTCTGCTACAACCACGAAGGGCTCAGAGCCAAAGGTTACACTCAGTGCAGGGTGCCACGGTGGCTAGGAGATGTTAACTACCTCGCCTGG